GGTGGAGGCTGCAGGAGGAGCCGGTTTGGGGGACACCTCGGGGGTTCTGGCTGGGCCACACCAGGTTTGAGAGCAGTGTAGACCCCCACATGGGAGAGTCCAGGGCTCAATACGTTGGAGTCAGGAGTGTCTGGGCAGCATTTGGAGGACTGGGTAAGATTCTCTAGGCAGAGGGTAGACAGGTGGGGGACTCCGTGCCTGACCTTGGTACCTGTGGCATCTGTGAATCTCCAGGCACAGACACGGGCCACATGTCTGGCCACACCTGCTCTAAAGTCTAGCAGTGGCAGCTGCCATGAAATCAACTTAAAGATTGTGTTGCTGTGTCTGTGACACACTGATGGGGAAGATGGGGAGGTTTCTCTGGAAACTGAACCCAAAGGATGTGAGTGAGGCAGGGAAGGCCAGGGCATGGGTATGTACAAAGGGCCTGGGGCAGGTAAAGTATGCTTAAGTCCTAGGAAGAAGAGCAGGAAGGTAGGTTCAAGAGTCAAGGGGGACAGGGGAAAGAAAGGCTCCAGGTATATTGGAAGAGGTCTGGGCCAGAGCCTGAAAAAGGAGGGCAGCAGGCACAGGTGGAAGTGGGAGAGGACCCTACACCCCCTGAAATGGCACAGGGGTTCCAGAAGGTGCTTCTGCCCCTCTGCAGTTTTCTCTGCTGCTCTGGTTCTCCTTGTCACCCCACAGTGGGACAGGGCAGCTGTGGAGCTTGTGGGAAAGGCATCTCCAGGAGCAGACGCTGGGGCAGCACGCAGGGACCTGGCCTGAGCAGGCCCTCTGGGTGTGGTGATGGTGCTCGCGTGCCAGCCGCAGAGAATGTGCCTTGTGGGAGGCGAGGAGCTGGGGACAGAGGCTGCAGGACGGCAAACACCGAGACGGTGGGACCCGACCCAGGCCAGACGGGCGCGGTGTGGGTGTCCTGGCGGGGAAGGGATCTCCTTAGCGGCAGGGACTCACAAGCTCCCAAACCTGTGTAAATGGGACCTCCCTGATCCATCCCGCTGCTTCCCCGCCCCCCGAACCCCCTGAGTATGTAAGACAGAGAACACCACGTTGTGAGTACTGCTGATTAGGAAAAAGAGTAGAAGGAGACAGAATAGGCTGTGTACGGCCAGGGGACAGCGAATGTGGAAGTCGAGACATGCACACAGTGCTGTGTGGACGGACGTTCTTTCTGGAAAAGATGAGTCTCCCCCGAGCTGCTGCTTCTCCACGTCCCCAGTGCCTGGGGAGCAGAGGGGAGGCTGGGGCATGGCAGCCCGAACCCGCTGCGGACACAGCCCCTCAAGCGCTTCCTTTTCCTGCCTCAGTTTGCTTTGCAGTGCTGTGTGGCTCTGGGCGTGTTCCTCCTCCTCCCCCGACTCTCCGACTAGGGTGGCTGTTAGTCATCTACGTCTCAGCCCACCTGCGTCCAGCTGGCCCTTTCACAGAGGAGCACAGGGCAGTTCAGGGAGACATGAGCGGAGGACTTGCAGCAAGCAGCAGAGTCAGGCTTGGCCCGGTCCTCGTCCAGCCCCGACGTTCGCTCTCTATCCAGATGCCGGGAGAGGCGGCGTGTAAGTTAGGACTCACAGCCAAATAGGTGAACTATGTTCTTGGGCCCTTGGCTCTGGGATGGTTCCCCCACGAGCTCCGCTGTAGAAACAGCAGTGTCCGGAGCTGGGGACTCTGGTGACAGGGACAAGAGGCTCGGCCCTCGGCTTGGACCCATTTGCCAGGTGTGCAAAGCTGGCTCCTCCTTCCTGTCCCCCTGCCCTGAGCAGCTTCCTTTACCTTCCCTCTCACCTCACCACCGGCCCTGACATGACCGGGCCGAAAGAAGCTTCTGGAGCCCCTGGGCGGCTCCTTCGGGGCGCCTCTTTCAGGCACTTTGTTGCAGTGGTAGAAAGTGGCTCCCACACACCTACCCAGCCAAGATTTACTGAGTACCTCGAGGTGGCACCAGGATCCCTGGGCTGGGACTCAGGTACGAACAACATGCAAAATGGCAGCTCTGACCTCTTAGCTTAGTCCCAGGGCACAGTCACACTGCGGGCACAGGCCATGTCAGAGGCCAGGTGCCCTCTGGGGAAGCAGCCGGCCGAGGCCAGGGCCAGTGACGGACTTGGGGCCTCAGGAAAGGAGGCTGTGAGGGACAAAGGAGGTGGGTGGGGGCATTTTTGAAGCTTCTGAAGAGTCCAGCATGCGGGCAGGTGGGGATTCTGTACAGGGGTGGTGATGTCCTTTGTCTCAGCCCTTTAGGTAACACAGAAACATTACCCAGGGCAGGGATGGGGTCGTATTGGTTTGCAGGGGCACGTGACCAGGAGGGGAGACCTCAGCAGGGCTGTGACCAAGGGAAGGGCAAGAGCGGCGTCACACTCGGTGTCCCAGGGAGGGTGGATCAGACGGTGGCGCACAGTGGAGGGCGCTGGCCACGGCACACCTGAGACCTCCCAGGCGGAGCCAGGGTGTGACGTCACCGGCGGTGGGAGTGAGGGTCAGAGTGCGCTGTGGTGCCAGCTGCACACCCGGGGAAGGGCAAGGGCAGGAGCCGGTTAGGGGAGAAAATGAAGCAGTGCGGCCAGTAGTCTACGGAGACGGGGCTGCCACGCAGGGTGGGGACCCACACAGAAGTCTCCAACCGTGCAGCTGCCCAGCCCCGGAAATGATTGGTCCAGATCAAGATGTGTGCAGGAAGTGTCAAATATGCACCAGAGTTTGCCTTAATGCCCCCAAATGTAGATGTCTCATTTTAAAACATGGATTGCACGCTGAAACAGTATTTTCAGTGCGTCAATTCATTTCCTTTTGTTTTATATTTTCAATGGGGTTAAGAGGAAGTTCTAAGGGACACACGAGGGCTCACCCGGTTTGTTGTGCTGCGCCAGGGCGGACAGCATGTAAAAGTAACCTGCGGGGAGTGTGGGACAAAGCAGAGGTGAGGGACAAGGGGAGGCCCGTGGGGGGAGCGGGGGCAGGAGTAGTCAAGTGTAGACATTTCCCCCCTCCTGTGTGACAGCGCTGATGCCGGCAGAAGAGTTAGGTGTGGCTGGTTCTGGGATCCTGTGGCCCCTAGGGAGGCCGGAGGAGGGCTGGGGAGTCCAGGATGTCTGGACAGGGGGGGGCCCTGGAACCAGTGCTGGGAGAGCAAGCTGGCAGGAGTACGGAGGAGGGCAGTACCTGGAGAACAGACTGGAGATCCCAGGGACACAGGGTTGTTGCCATGGGAACACAGGATACCTGGGGACTCCAGAGTTGGTGCGGATGGTGCTGCTGCTGCATCAGGAAGGGTCAGGACAGCTAGGGACATGGGGAGGCCAGAGAGCAGGTGCTGGCAAGGCCAGCAGGAAGGCCACGCTGAGGCAGAGATGGGTGTGGCAGACGGCGTGAGCTGGGGAGGAACCGTCGCCTGTGTCTGTGAGGGTCCTCTGCTGTGTCACCCCTGGGTGGAAGGGCCAAAGAGCAAGCGGGCAGTAGGAGGCAAGTCCTCCTGAGAACCCTGCCCTCGCTGGTGATGCCCCATCTCCAACACTGGTGGGCCAGGGACCGATTCCAGCAAGTAAACATTAGGGGACACATTTCCATGATAGCCCATGTTTTTAAGAAGGTGGCGTGGCATGAAATAGGGAAACACAACCTGGATATCTCAGACTTAATGAAACCTTGTCTCAAAATGCAAAGGCCTTGGGTTCACCCCTCATTACGGGCGACAAAGGCAGAAAGTGTGCCTGGGGGTGCGGCCTCTAGCTGAGAGGTCTTTCAGGGGTCTCTGTCTTCTCTGTCTCTGCAAGGCCAGGGTGTCTGGAAATGGCTGGGACACCAAGACGGGCGACTGAGGAAGGCTGAGGACATGAGGGAGTCCTGTTCACACAGATTGCAGACCGGGGCATGGAGGGGGAGACGGGGTGAGGCCGGGATGAGCCAGGTCACACGTGGCGGGTCTCCGTCCCCAGGCTGAGTGACCTGCAGGCCCGCTCACTCACTCAGGGCGACTTACCCACCTGCAGATGGGGCAGGTGACGCTGTGCTGGGACGCTCACCCTGCCACAGCCCCTCCGAAGTCTATGGGACGCCCTGCTGGGGCCCTGGTGGGAGCCTGTCCTGTCTGGCCGTTCTAATCCTGATGATATTTTCCTATTCTTTGGTGATCATAATTAGGTGAAAACGATGTTACCTTGCTCCATTTTAAACTGTTATGTGGCGGGGGGCAGTGCAACCTCTCTCTCATTCTCCTGGTGTCAGGTTAGCATCACTTTGACAAAGAGGACCTCTGGAGACGTAGTTCTCAAGTCCCCACCTGGGAAATCTGGCCACGCCTGGGAACAGATCTGGCCATAAACAAAAGTGGTGCTGCAGTCGGGAGGGATCACTGCCGAGCACCCTGCCTTGCACACAGCGCCCTAGCATGAACACCCAGCGCCGTGTTGGCGGTGCCAGGGCTGAGACGCCAGCCCGGCCTGCGGGGTGGACCCGCAGGCCTCTGTTCACTCCCTGATCCTGTTTTATCTCCTGGTGATGCTTCCCCCACTCTGTAATTACCTGGATGGTTCACTGAAGACAAAATAACCCCGCTTGTCTGCCTCACTTGAATGTAAGTCTAAGACGGGGGACTCTTTTTGTCTTGTTCCCTACCCTGTGCCCATACAGCAGGGTACCCTGGCATACAGCAGGTGCCCAGTAACGATCTGCTTAGGAGGTGGTGAGTGGCTAGGAACCTGCCAGGAAAGGTGGTTTTCCTGTATGGAATCTGGAATCCATCCCAGTTTATCCAGATTTGCCTAAGACACAAGTACCTCCCAATGGGATTTTGTTTCATTTAACTCAAACAAAATTGCTATTAATCTGAGTCCTGTTGTCCAAGATGCTGTGTGAGATGGGGAATGAGCTTTCCAGAAGTGTTTTTATACCATGTATGTTAGAAGTTCTCCTAAATCCCCAGCTGTTGAAGAACTAAGGCAAAGAACGACCGCACACTGGGCATCTAACTTATAAAATGTCGCCATTTTATTTTGTCACTGTAAAGAGGTTTGTCTCAACCAGATTGTAACAAAATTACCACAGCTTATTCCAAAAGAAAATTTTAATACAAGAGATTTTAGAAAATTAAACATATTTGCTTAAAAATTCTATCTTGTAAACCTTAACAGAAGAGGGTGGTTAGGATACTACGCGGACAGTTACACCAGTGGCCGGCCAGGTCCTGTCTACCTGCTGCCTGCTCCTCCCAGCGACTCCTGCCCCGCATGGCCAGCAGCACCCACATGTAACAGGCTTGCTCCTCCCAGAGGTCGGGTCACACCAACCAGGCACAGGGCTTCCCGTCCTCAGGCCAGGGCTCAGGGGCCAAGGCTGCTGCAGGCCAAGGCTCTGTTTCCAGGATGCTGAAGACCGGTCTCCTTCCCCGGCCCTGGAAATCTTTGCCTCTGGGCTCCTTCCTCGAATTTTCAACAAAGTCTGGTGACAAGCATGCCACCCACCATCACGGGTCCCGCAGCGGGCACCTGTGTCCTCAGTGATGGGGAAGGGACCTGCAGCGTGACTCCCCCAGCAGCACAGGGACACACGTGGACAGAGGGGACCCTGGCAGCTTCCGGCGGGGATTCATCCACAGGGTGGCTTGGCCCTCTTCAGGGAAACCCGCACCCCTTTCCTTCTCCTTTGGACTTCTGTAAAAACTCTGGGTGTAAGGAAGTCCACTGAACTTGGTTGTTAGACTTAAGAACAAAAAGTAAGGCTCCGTGATGCATCGGAAGTGACCGCAATCCGGCTGGCGACACACAGTGGCTTGTGGTCCAAACAGCTGACCTGCTGCATTTCAGCACGGGGGTGAACCATGGGGCCGAACTATGGGGTGCAGGATGCGCACAGCCAGGGGCCGTGCTGCTAAACCCTTATTCCTATCAATCCAGGAGCTGGAGTTTTATTCCAGAAACATAATCAAGACCATGTGTTAGGGAAACAGTAAAATGAACTTTTTGGCACAGAAATGTTAGATAAAATATACAGTGCTACAGTTGTGCAAAATCAGCACAGAAGCCAATCTGAACAGCAAATATTTAACATTAGTTTTAATAACATAATGCACAACATTCTGGAAAGTGTTCCTTACAACAGACCTTGTCTGTTAGGGGGCGCCTGCCCCCAGAATCAGCATGCGTCGTAGGTCAGCGCCTCCAGAGGTAGAGGCGGCCTGTGTCTGGCGCCGTCTGGAACGACGTACTAAGTCAGGACAGTTGCTGCCACTGGGACTCAGGCCCAAGGTCGCCCCTTCCGGGACATTTCTATCAGTCTCACAGCCTTCCTTGGGCTGGTGCTGGGGGCTGAAGATCCTGTTCCTTCTCAGAGGCCAGAGGGTGCCCTGGAAAGCCTGGTTGGGGTGACTGGGAGGAGGTACGCCTGGCCTCTGTCACAGGCTGGCTGGGGTCTCTCAGCGGCACAGGCAGGTGGCACCGGGGGACAGGGCCAAGGCTTGGAATGCCCCGACCAGGTCTTTAGGAGAACAGAGTGTCCCGTGTAGAACTCAGTGACAACGTAGTGGCCACAAGGCTGCTGAGCGGTTTCAGGAGTGAGGAAAGAACCCCAGAGTGGCACTGTGCAGCTTTCGCTGCGGGGTGGGGTGTCTGTTCCGTTTCCTCACTCTGACTGGACCCCTCTGCATGTGTCTGCCGGTATTGGCTGGGGCTGGCAGCAAGCAGACAGATGTAAACAGCTTTCGACTGCACGCTCTTTACAGGCAATGGCACCCAACCTGCCACTGTGTCACGAGTTCCACAGGTGTTACAAGTGCACTGAGCGGAGGCCAAGTACTTGCAAGATAGTGACGGGACAGACAACCCACAGCCTGAGGGCGATGCTAGGGTTTCCGGACTGCAAGCTGCTGGAGCATTCCCACAAGGCCCCAGGGAATGAACGTGCTTCTCCATTCCGCCTGGCAGGAGCAAGTTTTCTATGAATAATTAAGCTTTACAAAGTAAGGAGGTGGAGTCGATTGTAGCTCTGGGTATCTTTGGGCTGTTTTTTTGTTTTTTGCTTTAATTCCATGTGCACAATGTCCAAGAGGTTTCCTAGTGGGGTGGCTGGAGAGGGTGAGGGTGGGTTTTGGGTCCAGTGCCCCAAAGGCTGATCTGGACCCCGGGCTCAGGGGCACACAGGGGATGGTGGGTTCCCCTCCTAGTGAGGGCACAGAGTGGGCAAGTGGCTTCGGCGCAGAGCCCTTGTTCTGAGGCCCCCACTGGGCCAGTCTTCCCTGTGGCAGCCACGGCTCACTTTGCAGCCACCCCAGAGCAGGAGACACAGGGGCGGGCAGCCTGAGCCACAGGCCACTTGGTCTCAGTCATGAGGCGTAGCAGCCCGGCCAGTGCTGGGGGCTCAAACTCAAACGCCAGCCATTTGGGCAGATATGGAGAGGAGCATGCTGCTCTTGAAGCTGGAGGTCACTCAGGTAGGGCCCTGTCCTGCAGCTGGCCATTAGGGACAGCAGCCTCACTGGTTCATCTGGCCCAAGGTGGCCTCAGGAGCCTGTGGTGTCGCCTCTGCTTCCCTGTGGGATTATGGGACAGTGACCCAAACTTTTCCCTAACTGCTCGAATAAGCTTCCCTCTGGTGACCATGGGACCAGGAAGTGCCCATCTTCCAGGTGATTCACCAAGATGTCAGTTCCAGCACAGACCCGCGGTGGCTTCCACGATCACCTCAGGCACAGAATTCCCCAACACCTGCATCTGCCACAGGCAAAGGTGAGCACACACTATTCCTCTCATGGTCCATTCTGCAAATTCTCCCAACTGCACTCGGCTGTAAAAGAGGCTCTCGACCGGGTAGGAGCGGTTTCGTGATTCTGGAGGTGAGAGCATGGGCCCCGTGAAACCATCTGATCAGGTGGGTCCGAGGGGAGAAGGTGGGCTGCCGCGTGTTGGTCCTTGCCCTTCTCCCTGCCTGCTCAGGTCCCTGGACTGTGACATCGTGCCGCGAGGCAAGGGGAACAGAACGACCGGTCTCGGAGAGTTGGGGTTCTATGCCCACCAGGGGCTTGTCTGGAGACGGGTGATACACGGTGGATGTGGATGTGACTTGAGGGGACAATCTTCACTGTCAGAGATGGAGCTGGGTCTGAACACGCGAGGACCCCGGAACCTTCTGCAAAGGCTCCCGGCACCTGAGGCCAAGGACACCGATGCTCATGAGGCCAGCGTCCCCACCTGCCTGCTGAGCCCCTGACAAGCCGTGCTGGGGCTTCCTCCACGGACAGTGCCTCCCGAGACCAGTGGCAAGGAGGGCGGGGAAGAAGCAGAGAGATGTTGCCGAAGGCTGCTGGAAGAGAGGTGCCAGGGAGGGCCTCCTCAGTGGATGCTCCTGGGTGCCTGCTGACCTCGGCACAGCATGAAATGGGAAGGAGCAAGGTCCCTCCATCCGTCCATGGGTCAGAGAGAGGCAAATACCGGACGTTAAAAAGAAGAGCAGAAGAGGCTAACAGTCATTCTAATTCCCTTGTGGGAAAGAGCCACACGGCGATTTGGGAAGGGATCTTCGGGCCATGTTCGACATCGGGTTCCCTGTCTGTCCTGGGGCCTACCCTGCCGCTGGCCCAGAGCTGCAGGAAGGGGACAGACAGCTTTTGCTGCCGTGGGAGAGTAGTGAGCACACGTCCCAGTCTGTGCAATGAAGAGCCACCCTGCTCTATGGACAGGGACCTGGACCTCGGAGACCAAGCAGTTTAATCGGGGTGGCATGTGGCTGGCAGGAAGGTGTGCTCTCTGGTTCAGCAGGCGGACGTGGTCATCACACCAAGGCCAGGCCGACAGAGCAGCCAGGGTGCAGGATTCTGCTGAGGTCAGAGGTCACCGCTCTGGGGCTCCACGTTGCGTGTCTCCCTTGGGGGACCGCGGGACAGCTTGGGGAAGCGGGAAGCCACTCTGGGCTGGCTGTTCTTGTTCAGAGACTCTCCAGGAGGGGTGATGTCACTGTAAGACAGGGGAGAATTGGATTAGAATGGGGGTTCAGGTGCCGATGACTATAGGAGGCGCTGTCCCTGCCACCCCTTGCTCTGCTGAGCCACACGGTCTGCCCATCGCTTTAGCTGCAGCTCTGCAGGCTAGGGTGACAGGTGCCATCAGATTTTGTAGAACAGGAAACACGCAGGATGAGGACGCACAGACAGAAAGGATATTTAGGCTGGTCAGGGCCCGCGTCTACAATGTGGCGGTTATGAGCTAAGACACTGGAGTCTGTGGAGAAGGTGGTGACACCAAGCTGCAGCGCTGTCCCAGAGATGCAGAAGTTGAGCAGAGCCTGTGAAGGGAGGGGCCCTGGCACTGGTTATTACTGACTTGGCTACTCCCTTACCTAGGCCACCTCCCTCGGCCGCACGAGCCGTGTGACAGGGAGGTGGCGGTGGTTTCATCCTCTCACAGAGGCGGAAACTGAGGCCCGGGTCACACGGCAGGCGGCCAAGGTGCTGCTCACACTGTTCTGACTCCAGTCCGGGCACCTGCTCTCACCTCGTGAGAGTAGGGTGCATTTTAGAACCACCCAGAGAAGTTTAGCAAGTACTGCTGCCCAGGTGCAGGCTCGAAAGACTCAGGCTATAACCGGGCAGGGCTTGGTCTGTGACAGGAGGCCAGCTGGGCAGAAAACATACATGTGAAGAGCAGCTAAGGTGAAAACAACTCCATTTATCTCTAAGGTTGTACTGGTGGCTTTGAACTTTCTGAGAAACTGTTCCTGGCAGATAGGCCCACAGTCACTTCACGTAGGTTGGCAAGTGTGGGAGCTGCATGGAGTGTCCGGGATCTTCCCGGGGGCTGTGTGCCTGGGTTCCTTCCAGCCCCCCCATCGTGGAAACATCGGGGTGATAACGGCCCCTCCCCTCTCCCCCTCCCAGGAGCTGCTCGGATCACGAGTCCTGCCCGCCGCAAGGGCTTCACTGGCAACATCTTTCTCTTGAAATATGACTAGTTCTGAGCTCTCTTCGCAGGGTCCCTTCCTCTCAGAGTCTATTATGAGAAGACTATTCACATAGAAAAAGGTCCCAAGTGCGAAAGATAGCTCCACCGTCTTTAATAGGTGAGGAAAAACAGCAGGAGCGATTCCTCCCCATCTTAGCTCTTCAGCCTCGATGTGCTCTTGCAAATGCATTACTGTTTCATTATTTTCTGGAATGGCTCACGCAGAAAGTGGTGCAGAGGCAGTCGTACAAAAAGTGAGTCTCGGCCACGGGTGTCGTCCCTAACGTTTAGTCTCGGCTGCTCCCCACTGCATCTAGAGGTATGTATGTGTGCACAGCTGTGAGGATATATATGGTTTGCTATTTCTAAAAGTGGAAAATTATTCACTGTGCTGCCTCCTGCTTCTCCCTCTTAACGATGCATCGTGGAGGTTTTTTACAGCACTAACGTGCTGGTAGGAGGGTTGACAAACTTTGATTTCATCAAGTATCAGGTCATAGACCTTTCAGGCTTCGGGGCCCTCCGGTCACTGCTCCGGGACAGGAAAGAAGCTGTGGGAGCCGATGGCACCCTGTGGAGCCTCACTCTAGAAGCAGGGGGAAGGCAGGGTGTGGTCCTGGCCTGCTGGGCTGGCCTGGGGCCGGGCCTTAGGTGTCAGGTTGTTCGGTCGCACAGTACCAAGGCCGGGTGTGCGGCCCAGAGCACAGGCGCAGTGCGTGGCCGTCCTCCTTCCCAGCCCGACAGCAAAGCAGTAAGCCACCCCGTGTCACCCTCCGGTCTCAGGCTCAAGCCTGGGATGGATCGGGCCTGGAGACACCACTGGCCGCGGCTGGCATGGAGGACATCGAAAGGCCTCACCCTGGGTGTGCTTTAGGCAGCTTTGTTCTCCTTCACGGGAGGGTGCAGAGCTGTGAGGCGGAGGAGAGCGCACTTCGGGTGTGACTCTGTCTCCGTCACTCCAAGGTATGTGAGGGTCCAGACACTGCTTCGGAGCACCTCGAGGGGCTGCCACCTACTGATGCCCAATGGCCTTTATTAACACGAGCAAAAGTGCTGAACGAAAGGTCCTAACCCAGCCCCAAGATTTGCCACCTGCTAAGGTCCTGAGGAAAATACATTTTTGTCCAGTATGGAGGACTGAACGCAGGGCCTTCACTCTGAGCTGAAGCCTCAGTGTTGTTTTGGACAGGGTCTCGCCAGACTGGGTCAAACCTGCGATCGAGCTGAATCGGCAGTTACAGGTCTGTGCCCCCACGCCTGACCGGAACTGCACCAGAAGCCACAGAGCCAGTGCCCCGGAGACCGGCCTGTGTGTGCCTTCACTTCCCAGCGTGCCCTCCCTTCTCTCGCTCCTGTTATGCTCCACCTGGTGCCCTGACTTCTCTCCCCTTCTCCCTTCTGAGCAGCCTGCCCTGGCCTCTTTCCTGAGCTAGAATAGTGAGAATCACCTGTCAACCACCCTCTGCCCCTAGCAGATCAAAACCACCTAGAGGGCAGGGGACTTACCTGTTGTGTCCCTGTGGTTTCGCCAAGCACCTGGCCAGAGCAGTTGCCTGAAAAATGCTGCCTGTGAATGTTGGCATTTTCAGGATCCAAACTGTGGGCCCTGGCTAGAGAACTGAGGATCTGAGACAGGGCTGGGCACAGCAGTGCCCCCGGTGCATCTCAGATCGGGAGTCTCCTGTCCAGTTGAATGGCAGGGTCCATCACAGTCTGTGCTCCAGGGCCGGGGACATCGCCTCCCACAGGCAGGACACCCTTCTGTCTCTGGTGTGGACCTTGACTACCTGGGGTTCCTGCTGAGCTGGCACGAGATGGGCCCGAGTCACTCCTTTCCTTATGAGGCGTGACACCGCACACTGCCTGGTGCCTCGTGTGCTTATGAGGAAGCCACCATCCAGAGAGCCATGGAAGACGCCAGGCAGGGGGCCTGTTCTCAAGGCCCACAGACCAGAGAGATACAACTATAACCGGCTGTCCCCAAATTCCAGTGCTGTCCTTAGGTGTAGGATTTCCAAGGAAGATCTAAAGGGGAGCAGCATGACCAAGGGCAGGGACCCAGTGGCTACCAGTTTCCTATTGATGCTGAGTACCAGCAACCACAAACTCGGTGCCTGCAGCAGCATGGCTGCTTCTCTTACAGCTGCAGAGGCCACAGGTCCACCGTCCATCTCAGTGCTGAAATCCAGGGCGTGACATACACTGTGCAGACCCGAGACACACTCAGAAGGGCTGGGTTTCCTTCAGGACACTTCCCTGGGCAGGCAGCCCTTCCCTCTCTCCCAGAGCTTACCTGGGACTATAGAGGTCTGGCTCTTCCAGTGCCACAAGTCCTTTTGTCTATGGGCTAATGAACAGCAGCACTGAAGGCCTGGTCCCTAGATCTGGGGTCAGGTTCACCCAGGAAGCGGTGGAGGAGAGAGGGAGAGGCTCCTGTCTGCTCAGCACCTCCGCTGGGGCCCATTTCTACACATCCCGAGCCAGACATGCCACCAGCACGGTACAGAGCACAGGTCCTGGTATTTCACAGAGACAGGTGGTTCCCATGAAAGCCTCGGTGTTTTACTCAGAAGTACAAGTTCAAAGCGTGCCGCTCTGCATGCTCCCCTCGCATAAACACACGTACGTGTGCTACACAGATGGGGTCTACCTACCACACGTTTACATTTTGGCTTTCTCTTAGTAAACTTTAGTTCCTAAAGACCCAAGGGCCACCCAAGAAAACTCAGACGGTCAGTGGCTTCCCCGTGTCCTAAGCGTCAGGCAGGAGGGCGGCTGGCCTCAGCTGCAGACCTTCCGGGCCTGAGTTCCAGGTCTGCGATCATAGGCAAAGTCCTTAAATCCTCTGGACGTCAAGTGTTGCTCCCGTAAAATGGGGACACCCTTCACCTCCCAGGATGCTGCCGAGGATGATGAGAAAGCACAGTGAGTGCCCAGCACCCAGCTGAGATTACAGGTATGGGACAAGGATGTCAATGCCGGACCAAGCCAGGGCTCCTGGCCAGAGCTCGTGGTCTCAGGAGAGTCACCTCGGGGGAGGCTGAGCCAGCCCAGCGCCCGCCTTCCGGAACTGTGTGCACAGATCTGAGTGTGGCAGCTGCCACAGCCAGCCCCAGTAAGTACGACATCACACACGGCCACCTTCTCGCCTGTCGCTCAGTCTGCACCCAGAGTGAACCAAGGCACAGTTTGCCCAGTCAAGCTCAGCCGGGTGGACTTCCTAGGTGAGGCATGGAGGAAGGGGGTGACCCTGAACCCTGGTGCTGCCCTGGGCCCCTGGAAGAGGAGCGGCAGGTCCAGTGACACTGACAGCGTGCTCTCCGGACTGCGGCATGGGGAAGGAGTCTGCAGATCTCCTCATGGTCTCAAAGGGGCTGCCAATGAATAGCAGCCGCAGTCACCGCGGATTCTCCAGGCTGGGTTCATTCTCAGACCCACCCTATGCTGGTAAAGGGTGCAGGGCTGAGAAGCTTGCTGATGGCACCTCCAGCCACCCGGGTTCACACAGTGCCATTTCCTTCCCTTTAGTAACTGAAACTCTGCTCTTCCAGACCCTCAGCCCAGCAACTCCCGCACGTCCCCAACTCGTCCTTCTCCCATCCTCCTCAGGAGACTGAAAGCACGTCAGGAGCTGGTCCCTGCCCACCCCTCCCAGCCTGAGGCCACCAGGGCTCCACAGTGCATCTTCTGCAGGGGCACCAGGGTTCCCCGGGCAGAGCCAGAGGCCTGCCCTGGCTGCTCCCCGTCTTCCTCCGCCTCAGCGCCTTTCCACTTGCCATTTGCTCCTCCTGGGTCCGTCCCTCAGTCCTCATACTGGGTCAGGCCATCTATGGCCTTGCACGTCGTCTCCACCTGATCAGTACGCATCCACCCGTCCCGTTCATGTCTCCCCTCAGTGGAATGTCCCTGAGCAAAGAGATCTTGTATGAGTTGTATCTAAAATGGTTCCCAGCCCACAGCAGGTGCACAGTAAACACTGGGGGAATGGATGGACAGACTGAGGGAGTCTCTCCCAC